TATTATATATAATAATAAAATAATAGTAATAAAAAAGTAATAAAAAAAATAATATTATTTTTGTATACATTAAAATAAATTTCAAATATATAAAATATATGATGCTTTTCTTTTTATTACAATTTTTTGAATGTTTAAGAAATTTTTATACATAAACTATATAAAATATAAAATATAATTAATTTTAGTTTAATATTTATATTAAATAATACTAAAAAGTTAATTTTTATTTTAAATTAGGTTTACATTATTATAAATTAATTAATTTTTTTTTAATTTTTAAATAATAAATATTAACATTTAAATTTTTTGTGTATCAAATAATAACATTAAAATCAACAAAGAGAAAATAATAATTCATTTATTATATAATTATAAATATTATTTAAATAAATTAATCTGATAATTATTTTATAATTTTATAAAATTAGTTATATTATAATATATATTATTCTAATATATTATTTTAATATATAAATTTTAAAAATATATTTCTTAATTTTTATAAAATAAAAATATGTATTGTAAGCTATTAAATTTTTTATTAAATTCATAATATATAAAAAATTGAAGTATAATAATTAAAAAATAATTTTAAAAAAGAAAAAATATAATGAAGTTCACTTACATCGTTGTTGTTTTGTTTATCCGAGTTCTGTACATGAAATTTACACGTCAAGCTAAGTCTCATCGACTTGTTTTAAGTAAATCGTAGCGAACATCCTTTTCTCTGACGTAATTAAAGTGGACACGTGTTCAGAATGACGGAAGAATATGAAGATCCCTTCTCCGTTCCAAGGGTGAGTAATTTTGCATATTAATTCTTAGAGGTTATAAGAATTATTTGCTCTTTAATATACAATTATGCAAAAAAATTTCTTATAAATCATTTTCTATAAAATTCAAAAATTTTGTTTCTAATTTTTATTCAATAACACGAAGTTTTATTAACTTTATTTTAATTTTTTAATTTTATTTATTAAAGAAGATATAATTATAATACAAAATAGATATAAGAGATAGAAAATATAATTAAATACAAAATATACATTATATATTAAACAAAACGATATCAAGTTTTATTAATTTTATTTTAATTATTTTATTTACTGAAAAATTCACATGTTATTAATATATTTGATATTATTTTAGAAATCTTGTATTGTTAAAATATTTGATATTATTTTAGGAATCTGCAGTGATAATTCCACATTTACAACAACTGGAAAAAGATTTCTTTGAACTAGTTGGTTATGGAAATGTTGCAGATGTAAAAGATTTTCTTGAGGCTCATCCCGATTTCAATATTAATGTAATGGATTTTCAGGTAAGATTTATGTATGTAAATGTTATATAATAGTAAATCAAATATAATTCAATAATGAAATTATTACTAATCTATCATACATATCTATCAAATATAGTTATTTCTAAAAATAATCAGATATTATTTTAATTTTTATATTTTTATATTTAGAATAAACATATCTAAAATAACAAAAATATTTTATATATTATATATTAATATATTTTATATATTAATATATAATATATATATATCAATAAAAAGAATATTCACTTAAATTTAATTTATTTAAAC